AAAGTTAAATATGATAAAATTATTATCTAAGGATCATATTTGCATACCAATTTTATCCTCACAAAAACTTTGATTTGAAAATTTTTAAATTAAAAAATGTTTTTCAGTTCTTATTTTTTGAATAAAATTTTGTTTTTTAATTATTTGAAATTAAACTGAAAAATTCAAAAAACACACAAGTTCGATAATTTTCACAAATAATGGAATCAAAATTCGCTACTAAGTTTTTTGTAATATTTAATAAAATATTTTTCATAAAAATTTTAACTGCTAAAATGATTAAAATCGGTAAAATATTTTCAAAAGTTCCGAAAAATTTTCAGAAAAAAATTCATAAGTTTTTTTCTAAGAATGAAATGTTTTCAAAACCACATAAATTGTAATTTCCAATAATTAATTAACTATTTTAAAGAAATATTTATTATTAGATATTACAAAGAAATGGTAGAAAAAAAGGGAAAAACTGAAGAATGAGCAAAAATGATAGAAGTTAAAAAAATTTTACTGCTTTTGCTTGAAATTTATAGTTTTATTTTTAGAAATAATGAAAAGTTGAAATTTAACAAATTCAAACTGAAATTGAAAAAATAATCCTAATTGCAACTGCAAATTAAAAATAATTGCTTTTAGAAAGACAATTTCACTTTCAAAAAAATTCAAAATTGAAATGCATTCTACAAAGTATTCATAATTAAAATGATTGCAATAAATTCAGTGAAAATACTAAGTCTGAAATTGCATTTTGATCACTTAGTTCACATCTATGCATGCAATATTATTTGTTGTGCACAATTAAGCTTAAAAATTTGCTTTGATAATATAATAAATAATTTAACTAAAATTAAAATTAGTAGTAAAAAATGCTTGTAATTATCATTTCTTTACTTTCTTAAGCTCATTATTTAAAATAATAATTCTTTTATAGTGAAAAAATCAAAAAACTTAAATGCAAAATGACATAAAGTAAAAATATTTTTTGAGTTTAGTGTTGCTTTAAAAGTTTTTACTGTACAAATAATATTAAAAAATAATATTTTACAAACAATATTAAAAAATCAAAAATAAATTTTCTCGATCATAAATAAATTACACTTTTTAAGCAATAAATATTAAAAAATAAATTAATAAATTGAAAAAATTGTGATACTAGTTTAAAGCTATTGACTGAATCTTGAGTAAAAATTTTTTTTTACATCCGTTTCTCGTTTATACTCAAAAAATTGAGCTTAGTCAAAAATCTAAAATAGGCTACAAATTAGGTCAGATAATTTTGTTAACAACGTCACAAAATATGTATTTACTTGACTAAGGAACATTTCAATCAACTAAAAAAATGTAGCTGACAAGAGCGAATAAAACGGATATAATTATTTTACAACCTTTTAGACGAAAAGCTAATCTTCGTAATGAAATTTAAAATTAAGCATAAAAATGGCTATAAAAGTTAGTGCTAATAGTTAAAATTTTTTGAAAAATAAAAATAATAAATTAAATTTTATTATTAAATGCTTGAACGAACTAAATTTTAACAATAAGCATTTTTTTATGCCAATAAAAATTTTGCATTTTATTATTTTTTACAAATAAATGCTCGTTTACAGCTTTTGAAAATAAGAATAAATAAAATAATTTTATATTTTTTTTTCTCATTTTTAAAAGTTTGTTTGAGATAAATTCAATTTTGAAAAAATTATTTTTCTATTTTTCAAAATTTTTTTTTCTCATTTTTGAGAGTAAACAAAATGAAAAGAAAATGAGAGTTAAAAAAATTAGCAAAAAAAATATTTGTGAACTCATTTTTGAGCTTAGTTTGAAAAATTAACAAGCACATTTGTCTATTTTTCAAAATTGGAATTATTATTTTTTGAAAAATAGACAAATGATATTTTTACGATAATTTTTCTTTTTTACTTTTTAAAAGCAAAAATTTTTTCTGCAAAAGAAATACGATAAAATATTTGTTATTACTTTAAAAAATAAAAGCTTAATTATTTTTAGAATTTTCAATGCTTTTTTTCTCATTTTCTTATTGACTTCCTTAATTACAACATTGTATTTTTTTTTCTCTAAAATATTGAATTAATTTCATCTAATTTTTTTATCTTTTTTATTATTTTTTTCATTCTGTAATTTCTTTTTTTTCATTTTCTAATTTTTTATTCGTAAAAAATAAGAAGAAATAAAATTTCTTAAAATACTTCATTATTCAATTTTTTCTTATTTTTTGTAGTTTTTTAGTTTGTCTTTTTATTTGCTTAAATTTAAAAATTTTTTTCTTTTGTTCTGTTCCCACAGCATTTAATACTGAAAACAATTTTGCAACAGAAAAAAAAAATAATAAAAGTATGCCAGAATTTTTATAGGCATAAAAAAAGGAAAAATAACAAAATAATTAATTTAAATTTGTAATGAAATATAAAATGTCTTTTTTAGTAATTAGTTTATATTGAAATATTATAAGCAAACAATAAAATAAGTAATGAAAAAGTAATGAAATCAATGGTATAAATAGTGCAAAACTAATTTAAATATTAATATATTTTTTGTTTTTCATACGTTTTTTATTCTGCTGATAAATTTTGAATAATTTTCTAAAATTATAAATTTGAATAAAT